CTTCGAGGCCCACAATTTCTTTGTTCGACATTTGAGGATTATATTGACATGGCTAAGTTAAAGACATGACTCTGATACCATGTTAGAAATAACGACTCTCCACAATGGTATGATATTATCCACTTTGAGCATAAGCTCTCGTGGCTTTGCTTTAGGCTTCTCAAAAAACCTCGTACCAATGGAAATAGTATTCCTTATTTATAAACTAATGATCTTCCTCTTAATTAGTTGAAACGGTTCCTTTCAATAACCCTCAACAATTTGATCACCTTTTTACTTTCAGCTCTAGATTTAATAAAGAAAGAGGAAGTTCAAGCCATAATAGGCCCAAAAACCTCGATGCAAGCCAGCTTCGTGATCGACGTCGGAGCCAAAGCACATGTACCCATCATCTCATTTTCCGCCACACGACCATCCCTAACATCCCACCGCAGTTCATTTTTCTTCCGAGCAGCCCAAGACGACGCTTCTCAAGTTAAAGCAATTGGTTCCATTGTAAAAGCCTTCAAATGGCGACGAGTCGTCCCAATCTACGTCGACGACATGTTCGGCGACGGCATCATCCCATACCTAATTGACGCCCTACAAAACGTCAACGCACACGTACCTTACCAAAGCATCATATCACCTACCGCCACCGACGACCAAATCATCGGAGAACTTTACAAGCTCATGACCATGCAAACAAGAGTGTTTGTAGTACACATGTTACATGGCCTCGCCTCACGCATATTCATTAAAGCCAAACAAATTGGAATGTTGAATAAAGGGTATGTTTGGATTGTTACAAATAGTATCACAAACGAGCTTGATTCAATAAATCATTCGATTGAATCAATGCAAGGAGTTATTGGAATAAAAACTTACGTCCCAAGAACTCAAAAGCTTGAAGCTTTTGAAGATTCATGGCAGAAGAGATTTGTAAAGTATTATCCAACAATCGAACACATCCCGGAGCTTGACGTGTTCGGATTATGGGCTTATGATGCGGCTTGGGCGTTGAACATCGCCGTGGAAGAGGCCGGCATTGACAGCCTTCGATATAGCCCGGCGAATGTCAAGGTGTTGAAAATGAACTCATCCAACTATTTACACAATTTGGGTGTAAATCAAAATGGTGTAAGGCTTCGTGATCGGCTCTCAAATGTTACGTTTGATGGGTTGGCCGGAAAATTTGTGCTTAGAAATGGGCAATTGGAGTCGGCGGTTTTTGAGATAGTGAATGTTATAGGTAATGGGAGGAGAAATGTGGGGTTTTGGTCGCCGGAGAGTGGGCTGACGAGGACGTTGGAGGGTTTGGGAGGAGGAGGTGGGTTGAAATCAGTTATTTGGCCGGGAGATCCTGGCCACCGGCCAAAAGGGTGGGAGGTTTCGACGGCGGAGAGGAAGTTGAGAGTGGTGGTTCCGGTGAAGGATGGGTTTTGGGAGTTTGTGAGTATAGTTCATGATGCTAAGACGAATACAACGAAAGTGAGTGGGTATTGTATTGAAGTATTCAAAGCTGTTGTTGAAGCGTTGCCTTATGCCGTTGGTTATGAGCTCATTCCCTTTCATAAAACCGCTGCGGAGCCTGGTGGTACCTATAATGACTTGGTTTATCAGATCTACCTTGGGGTTAGTATTATATATATCATTTTTAATTTGTTGCTATCGTTTTTAATGCGTAGCAGATATTGTCTTCTTTGAGCTTTTCATTAGAGTTTTTCCATAAAGGTTTAAAACGCGTATACTAAGGAGAGGTTTTTACACCCTTATAAAGAATGTTTCGTTCTTTCGTACAATGATGTGAACCCCTCTTGGGGGTCAACGTTCTCGCTGGCACACTGATTAGTGTTTGTCTTTGATACCATTTGTAATAACCTAAGTTCACTGTTAGCAGATATTGTTCGTTTTAGTTCGTTACGTATCGTACGTTAACATTATGATTTTAAAACGCGTCTCTTAGAGAGAGGTTTCACTCTAGGAGACGCATTTTAAAAAACCTTGAGGGGAAACTCAAAAGGGGAAAACAAAAAATGAACAATATCGGCTAGCAGTGGAATTGAGTCATTACAAATGATATCATAGCCCGTCACCAAATGGTGTGCCAGCGACGACACTGGCTCTCAAGGGGGTGGATTACGAGATAACATTCCTTATAAGGTTATGAAAACCTCTCACTAGCAAACCCGTTTTAAAATCTTGAAGAGAAGCCCGAAAGGAAAAGCTCAAATAGAACAATATCGGTTAGCGATAAGATTAGACCATTACAAATGGTATTAGAGTAGACACTAGATGGTGTGACAACGTTGTCGCAAGCCCCAAAGGGGTGGATTATGAGATAACATTCCTTACAAAAGTACGAGAACCTCTCCCTACTGACCCATTTTAAAATCTTGAGGGAAAGTTCAAAAGAAAAAGTCGAAAGAGAACAATATCTGCTATCGATGGGATTAGACCATTACAAATGGTATCAGAGCCCGTCACAGTATGATGTGCCAGCAACGACGCTGACCCCCAAGAGAGTGAACTGTGAGAAAATTTCTTACAAGGGTATCTAGAACATTTCCCTAGCAGATGTGTTATATAATCGTAAAGAACTCGGAAAAGAAAGTCTAAAGAGGACAATATCTATGACAGTGATTTTTTTTAAAACTCACATTTTGATCATTATCTGATCTTGGATGATGATCAGAACTTCGATGCATTGGTGGGCGACCTAACAATCCGAGCAAACAGGTCAAAATACATCGACTACACATTACCCTTTGCAGAATCCGGGGTATCACTAGTGGTACCAATAAAGAGCGTGAAGAACACCAACGCATGGGTATTCATACAGCCACTAAAAGGGCGCCTATGGTCCCTCACAGGCGGCTTCTTCCTCATCATGGCACTCGTCGTATGGGTCCTCGAGCACCGCATCAACGAAGACTTCCGCGGCCACCCATTGAACCAAATCTGCACCAGCCTTTGGTACTCATTCTCCACCATGGTCTTCGCCCATCGTACGTACCCTTAACCCCACCACTCTCCAACAACGAACACGTTCTAACCAATATCATGAACTTTCAGGGGAGATTACGTTCAATAACTGGACAAGATTCGTGGTGATTATATGGCTGTTTGTGGTTCTGATCATTACACAAAGCTACACTGCTAGTTTGGCCTCGTATTTGACGGTTCAAGAATTTAAACCGGCTGTGACGGATATCCATCAGCTGCAAAGGAATGGGGAGTTCGTTGGGCATAAAGTTGGGTCTTTTATTCGGGAGATTCTTAAGTCATTGGAGTTTGATGAATCCCAGCTTAGAACTTACCGTACTGCTGAAGAATTGCATGAACTTTTATCTAAAGGAAGCTCTAATGGGGGAATTTCGGCCGCCATGGATGAAATTCCTTATATCAAGCTGTTTCTGGCTAAGTATTGCTCGCAATATACTACTACAGAACCTACTTATAAAGCTGATGGCTTTGGTTTTGTAAGTTCCTTCTAAAGCTCGTGGTTTTGTAATTTATTTCAGTTTCTGGTGAAGATTGTTGGGAGGGAGTCCGAGATTTGCTGGGTTTATAAGTAAGGAATAGATCTCCATTGGTATGAGGTCTTTTGGAGAAGCCTAAAGTAAAACCACGAGAGCTTATGCTCAAAGTGGACAATATCATACCATTGTGGAGAGTCGTGGTTCCCAACATGGTATTAGAGTTATGTCCTTGTTTATACCTAACATGGTATTAGAATCATGTTGTTAACTTAGTCATGTGAATAGAATCCTTAAATATGGAACAAAGAAGTTGTGAATCTTGAAGGTGTAGTGAAAAGTAGCCTGAGTGTCGAACAACGGGTGTACTTTGTTCGAGGAGTCTAGAGAATGAGTCGAGTCTAGATTAAGTGAAGGCTGTTCGAGGGTTTTATAGGTTTTAGGGGAGGCTCTATAGTATAGTTTGTTCGAAGGGAGGATTGTTGGGAGGGAGTCCCACATTGGTTAATCTCGATTAATGGGAGGTTTTTCGAGGGCTCCATGGGCCTCAAGGAAGGCTCTATAGTACTTTGTTTGAGGGGAGGATTGTTGGGAGGGAGTCCCACATTGACTAATTTAAGGAACGATCATGAGTTTATAAGTAAGGAATACTTGATCATGAGTTTACAAATCAAGTGTCAAACAAAGGGGTACTTCGTTCAAGGACTCTAGAGAAGGACTTGAGTCTTGATTAAGAAGAGATTGTTCGAGGGCTCCACAGGCCAGACGAGACATTTAGAAACTTATGCTCAAAGTGGACAATATCATATGATACCATTGTGAATAGTCGTGGTTCCTAACAATACTTCTTTTCTACAGGGCTTCCCAATAGGTTCGGCGTTAGCTTCAGACATCTCGAGAGCGATCTTGGAGGTGACAGAGAGCGACAGAATGAGAGAGATCGAGAATGCATGGTTCAAAAAAGTGAGAGAATGTTCGGTTTCTGAAGCCTCTCAATTGTCTTCGACACGTTTGAGCGTCGACAGTTTTTGGGCACTTTTCGTGATCGTGGCAGGTGTTTCTGCAGTTTGTATCATTTGTTATATCGTCAAATTTCTGTACGACGAGCGAGGCCTATGGTGGTATACAAATGCTCCAAAGCGGCAAAGATTCCACCAAGTGGGGCGCAAGTTCATGGATAGAGATGCAAGAGCTTACCGGCTGCAACGAAGGGCATTTAGAAATGGTATTCGTGTTCATCCGGATCATCACCCTCCAGCTAATTGAAACAGATCGCTTGGTGGGGTTTATGACACTTTTTGTTTTCATAACCTTTGTATTTACTTTTGATAAACCCTCGTGAATTTGCTCGTAATATACCAATAACGTGCACTTTTCTTACTTTCGAAGAACAATGGATATATGTTTTGTTATCGGGAGAGATTCTTTTCCCTGACATTGTTGTTCCGGGAGAAATGTCAGATGCTCTTCTCCCTTTGTTAATGTGCGATTTTTGCTCTTCCTCTACTGAGTTGGAAGAGCATTTTCTGTTAGGATTGTTAGATGAACACGACTCTACACAATGGTATGATATTGTCCACTTTGACCATAAGCTCTCATGGCTTTCCCTTTAGTTTCCCAAAATGCCTCATACTAATGAAGAGAGTATTATTTGATTATAAACCCTCGATGTGGGACTTTCATCATCCAACACCTCCTCTCGAACAAAGTACGTCTCCCCTTAATCGAGACTTGACTCCTTTTCTTTTGGAGTCCTTTGTTCGACATTTGAGGATTTAGCAATCTATTGACACGACTAAGTTTAGGACATGACTTTGATACCATGTTAGACGAACACGACCCTCTACAATGGTATGATATTGTCCACTTTGAGCATAAGCTCTCATGACTTTGCTCTGGGTTTCCCCAAAATGACTCATACCAATGGAGAGAGTCTTATTTGATTATAAACCCCCGATGTGAGATTTTCATCATCCAACACCTCCCCTCAAACAAAGTACGTCTCCCCTTAATCGAGGCTCTACTCCTTTGGAGTCTTAGTCATTTTTTACTAACTTCGAAGAGACTCGACTCCTTTTCTTTTGGAGTCCTTTGTTCGACATTTGAGGATTTACCAATCTATTGACACGACTAAGTTTAGGGCATGACTATGATACCATGTTAGACGAACACGACTCTCTACAATCGTATGATATTGTCCACTTTGAGCCTAAGCTCTCATATCTTTCCTTTGGGCTCCCAAAAGGCATCCGACTGGAGAGAGTATTTTTTTGAATTTTTATTTTTTTAAAAAATAAAACATCAGTTCTTAAAACATCTATTTATTTACTTTCAATTATTTAATTAAGATTTATAATTTAATTTTATAAATATTTTAAAAATTACATTAAATTATTTTTTAAGAAGGGTCGGATAATAAATATTCAAAATATATATATATATAATTGTATTATAAGTAAAAATATATATTTTACCGTTTCATTACAACCCAACCTAACCCAACACAAATTATACAGGTTGGGCTGTGTTAATTAAGTTTTTCGAGTTATTGAATTTTTTTAACACGACTATTGTTTTTGGGATAATCGATGTTTAAACAATTTTAACACGTGCGCCCAATAATTTTTTTAATTAAAAGAAATTAAGAAGAATAAATTAGAGGCTAAAATCCACTTGTGGGGATAATTTGAGGCTGAAAAGACTATTATTATTCCTTAAGGAAAATGATAATGACTAATCTAAATAATTAATTACAGCAAATCATAAGGAGAAGGATGATAATGACAAGACTTGCCAAGTTGGTGAGTTTATATAGGAAATGGTCAAAGAATTTTAAGCCTTTTTTTTTTTTAATGTACAAATAAATACCTTAAAGAAAATATGAATAAATAACTTAATATTGAAACCTATAGATACAACCTTTTTTTCCATCTACTACTTGCTCCAACAACCAACCAAAACTCCCAAACCCACTTGGATCCAACCAAAATGATGTTTTTTTTAATAAAATGTTGACTTTTGATCTTATAATTAAAAAAACTTTTATTTTTAGTCGAATAATAATTTGTATATACATTAAATATGAATTCCTCGTTGTGAGATACCACGTCGGTTAGACATGGGAACACAACATTTGTTACAAGAGTGAAAACCTCTCCGTAATAGATGTGTTCTGTGATGTCTCACATTGGTTGGAGAGGAGAACAAATTACCCTTTATAAGTGTGTGGAAACCTTCCCCTAGCAAACGCGTTTTAAAGCCTTGAGGGGAAGTTCGAAAGGAAAAGCCCAAAAAGGACAATATTTGCTAGCGTGGATCTGGGCGTTACATGTTCCAAAATCGTGAGGTTGACAACGATATGTAACAAACCAAAGTGGATGATAACTGATAGCAGTGGGCTTGGGTTGTTACAGAACTAGAAATTGAGTGATGTGCTAGCGAGGACTTTGGGTCCTTTAAGAGGGGTGGAATGTAAGATTCGACATTGGTTTGAGAGGGGAACAAAGCATTCTTTATCTCTAACAGGGTGTGGAAACTTATCCCTAACATACGTGTTTTAAAACCGTGAGGCTGACGACAATACGTACATTATACTCGTGAACTCTAGATCAAACCCTTCTATGATGTCATTTCCCTTTGATTTTATTGATGATATCAAAATTCTAAGGTATTTAGGGTTTTATGACCTAAGAAAGCATACTGATCAACAAAAGCGTTGGTGAGGCACATCATGAGAAATAGAGATTTGGTGGAGTTAGGGGCAGAGACGGAGACGAAAAATATAATCTCTATTCCCGTCCCTGTTTAGCTAACGAGGAGAAATCTTTCTATTTTCCATTTAAACAGGGATTCTCCATCTCATTCAAAGTGGATCCTCAACCCGTGGATTAAATAAACATCTTATCTAAACTACGAGTATAAGCTTGGTCAGCCAATCATATAATAGGGTTTGACTAATTATTATGGTTATTATTTTGAGTATCATCCTTAATTGGCAAGTTGAGCAAGTAGGCTTTAATCAAACTAAAATCATTCTTTGTTCTTGATAAAATAATGAACAAAGAACAAGTCATTGCCTTGGACAGCCAAAATCTTTGGTTCCCATGATTGGATATCTCTTCCTCATATCTGATATCAATATCAAATTCAAATTCTTGTCAAGTCATGCACCCAACTCCCAACCACCATTAAATTAACAAAACTTTGGTCATATTAATCAAAGTAGTTGATTCAAATTCAGCCAAATAATAACAAGTCAAGCTAGCCATTTATCTAAAGCTTAATGATGAGGAGAGGAAAGGGTTTGAGAGGTGGTTTTGGGGTGGTGGTGATCGTTGTTTTTCTTAACATGTTAGTCACGGTGGCGACCACCGAGATGGCGGCGGAGGAGGAGGCGGCCGGAAAAGTGAAAGTGAAGGTGGGTGTGGTTTTGGATTTGAATCTTGTTGTTGGGCAGATGGGGTTGAGCTGTGTTTCAATGGCTCTAGCTGATTTGTATTCTTCTCGGAGTTATTACAAGACTAGAGTGACTCTCAGCACCATTGACTCCAATGACACCGTTGTTGATGCAGCTGCTGCAGGTTCCCTCTCATCTTTTATATATTAGTTCATCTTTTCGTCTGTAACAGTCCAATTCTATTTTCCTACGTCGATTTTAGAAAGAGAACTAAGTATTCTTTATAAGTGTGTGGAAACCTCTCATTAACCGACTCATTTTAAAAACTTTTTAAAAACTTTGAAAGCAAGTCCAATGAGGACAATATCAGCGAGTAGTGGACTTAAGCTGTTACACCAAGCTTACCGTTACTAGATATTGTCCGTTTTAGCTTGTTACTTATTGCGGTCAACCTAAATGCATTTAGTAATGAGAGGTTTTCACACGCTTCTAGTAAATGTTTTGTTTCCCTCTCCAACCGACATGACATCGATGACACACAACTCGATGTCTGATTTTGATACCAAGAGGGTGGATTGTGAAATTCGATGGAGAGGGAAACAAAACCTTTTTATAAGGGTGTGAAAACCTCTTCCTAACAGTCATCTTTTAAAAAACTTTGGAGAAAGTCAAAGGATGACAATATCTATTAGCACTAGGCTTGGGCAGTTACACCAAGCTTACCACTAGCAGATACTGTCTGTTTTAAAACACGTCTAGTAAGGAGGGGTTTTCACACCCTTCTAAAGAATGTTTCATTTCCCTCTCCAACCGACGAAAAGTAGCATACTAAAAACCATACCTATAAAAGACAAAGAAAACCTATTATTAGTAAAAGTAACCTACACTTTACCATACCTATAAAAGACAAAGAAAACCTATTATTAGTAATTCTCTATTACTACGAAAGATCTCATACTACACTCATACTATCAATAACTTATAACTACCAAATATAGCCACTTCGGATCTCACAATCCACCCATTTAGGGGCTAAACATCCCATTTCGTTCCCTCGAACGGATGTGAGATCTCACAATCCACCAACTTGAGGGCCAAACATCCTCATTGGCACATACAGCTCAATGTCTACACTAAGGGGGTGGATTGTGAGATCCCACATCCGTTAGAGACAGAAACCAAACTTTTCTTATAATGGTGTGGAAATCTCTCCATAATAGATACATTTTAAAAACACTGAGACTAACAACCATATATAACCGATCAAAATGAACAATATCTAGTAACAATGATGAACTGTTACATGATCGTGCATTTTCTTTTTCGGGAAAGATTTGATTGTTTGAAATTGCTCGAATTCTCAGCTTTAGATTTGATAAAGGAAGAGGAAGTACAAGCCATAATAGGCCCAACAAGCTCCATGCAAGCCAACTTCATAATCAACATAGGAGACAAAGCACAAGTACCCATCATCTCCTACTCCGCCACACGCCCATCCCTCACATCCCAACGCAGCTCCTTCTTCTTCCGCATCGCCCAAAACGATTCCTCTCAAGTCAAAGCCATCGGAGCCATAATCAAAGCTTTCAAATGGCGTCAAGTCATCCCCATCTACACCGACAACGAGTTCGGCAACGGCATAATCCCTTACCTCATCGACGCACTACAAGAAGCCGACACAGACGTGCCTTACCAAAGCCTCATCTCCCCGACAGCCACCGACACCCAAATCACCAACGAGCTACACAAATTAAAAAACATGCCGACAAGAGTGTTCGTAGTACACATGTTAACACGCCACGCTTCAAGATTCTTCATGAAAGTTCAAGAATTTGGAATGATGAATCGTGGGTATGTTTGGATTATCACTGATTCAATTGCAAATGAATTGGATTTAATTGAGCCATTAGCTTATGAAGCTTTCCAAGGTGTTGTTGGAATTAGAACTTATGTCCCAAGAACCAAAAGGCTTAACTTGTTGAAACGTGATTGGCGGAAGAGATTCCGGCGGTATTACCCAACCGTGGAGGATATTCCGGAGGTGGACGTTTACGGGTTATGGGCTTATGATGCCGCTTGGGCTTTGGCCACCGCCGTGGAACTCGCCGGCACCGACAACCTCCGATACACCGCCGCCAAATTGAACTCATCGAATTATTTATTTAACGTTGGGGTTAATCAAAATGGTCCGAGGTTGCGTGAGGCCTTGTCGGATGTCACGTTCATGGGGTTGGCTGGTGAATTTAGTCTCATAAACGGGCAATTGCAATCGACCCTTTTTGAGATTGTGAATGTTATTGGTAATGGGAGGAGAAATGTGGGATTTTGGTCGCCGGAGACTGGGTTGACGAGGAAGCTGGTTGATTCCGGCGGTGCGAAGGGGTTGCGGTCGATTATTTGGCCGGGGGAGCCGATTGTTACGCCGAAAGGGTGGGAGATTCCGACGAATGGGAAGAAGTTGAGAATTGGGGTTCCGGTGAAGGATGGATTTTGGGAGTTTGTGAAGCTGGTAAGAGATTTTGAAACGAATGTAACGATTGGTGTTGAAGGATATTGCATTGATGTGTTTAAGGCTGTGATTGAGAAGCTGCCTTATAAGGTTGATTATGAGTTTGTTCCTGCTGAGAAATCTAATTCTATCCCTGGTGGTAGCTACAATGAGTTCACTTATCAGCTCTTCCTTGGGGTAAGTATCATAAGATTAGGTTAACATGTTCGTGAATTGTTTGGAATCATGACCCTGTTGTCCATTTTGAGCGTAACTTCTTATGGCTTTACTTTTGGCTTCTCCAAAATCTCTCATACCATGATCAACGATTCTCTCCTCGAACAGTCTCTCCTTAATCAAGCCTCGACTACTTTTTTGGAACCCTCGAACAAAGTACACTCTTTGTCTCGAACAAAGTACACCATTGAGCCTCCCCTAAAGTCTATGGAGCCCTCGAACAACCTCCCTTTAATTGAAGCTCGACTCCTTCTCTAGAGCCCTTGAACAAAGTACACCCTTTGTCTCGAACAAAGTAAACCATAGAGCCTCCCATGAGGCCTATGGAGCCCTCGAACCAACCTCCCCTTAAATGAGGCTCGACTCCTTCTCTAGAGCCTTTGAACAAATTACACCCTTTGTTTCGAACAAAGTACATCATCCAGTCTCCCTTGAGGCCTATAAAGCCCTCAAACAGCCTCCCATAATCGAGGCTCAACTTCTTCTCTAGAGCCCTTGAACAAAATACACCATTTGTTCGACACTTGTGTCACTTTTGACTACACTTTCGAGGGTTGTTTGACATTTAAGGATTCTATTGACACAATACTATGATATTATCCACATTGAGTATAAGCTCTCATGACTTTGCTTTTGACTTCCTCAAAAGGTCTCACACCAATAGAGATAATCACTCCTCTCCCAACCATCCTTAACATAAATTAATTGTTAATAAGATGAATGCTATGAATGAACAGAAATTCGACGCTGTGGTGGGCGACATAACGATCCGGGCGAACAGGTCAACATACATAGACTACACATTACCATTCACAGCATCCGGAGTGGCCATGGTGGTGCCAATGAAGACCGAGAAGAACACCAATGCATGGGTGTTCTTAAAGCCACTAACATGGAAGCTATGGGCGCTCACAGCCGGCTTCTTCCTCTTCATAGCACTTGTTGTTTGGATCCTAGAACATAGAGTCAATGAAGAGTTCCGTGGATCTTCATTGGATCAAATCTGCACCAGCCTCTGGTACTCATTTTCAACCATGGTTTTTGCTCATAGTAAGCAATCTCTCCCCCTCAAGTTCTTCAGTTCATTCTGTTCTTGTTAATTTGTTAAGATTTTGAAGACTTTTGTTGATGTTAGGGGAGGTTACTTTGAACAATTGCACAAGACTTGTGGTGATACTATGGCTGTTTGTGGTTCTTATCATCACTCAAAGCTATACTGCAAGTTTGGCATCACTTTTGACAGTTCAAGAGCTGAAGCCCAGTGTGAATGATATCAATTTGCTTCTTAAAAATGGAGAGAACATTGGGTACCAAGGAGGGTCTTTTGTGTATGAAATTCTTAAGTCCTTGAAGTTTGATGATTCTCAGCTTAAAACTTATGAGTCTGCTGAAGAACTGCATGAACTTTTCGTTAAAGGAAGTATAAATGGTGGAATTTCTGCTGCGGTGGATGAAACTCCTTATATTAAAGTGTTTCTGGGTCAGTATTGCTCTCAATATACCACCACTGAACCCACCTTTAAAGCTGATGGCTTTGGCTTTGTAAGTTCATCTTTCTTACTGTAACCGCTAATATATCTCAGCTTTTACTTAAGATTTTTAAAACACGTCTGCTAAGGAGAGGTTTTTGCACCGTTCTTCTCTCCAACCGATGTGGGATCTCACAATCTACTCCCTTCGAGTTCCAACGTTCTTGCGAATACACCCCTTCGTATCCACCTCCTTTGAGGCTTAGCCTCCTCGCTCGTACATCACCCGGTGTCTAATTTTGATACTATTTCTGATTTGTGCATGTCATCTTTGCATAGGGGTCGTGTTAATCTTCTCTCTATCGTTCCAATTTTATTGAATGTCTCCATCGATTGGAGAGAGAGGAACAAAGCACGATTGTATCAGAGCCAAACATTGAGTAGGGTGCCAGCGAGACATTAAGCCTCCAAGTGGGGTGGATTGTGAGATCCCAAATCAGTTGAACAAGAGAACAAAACATCCTTTATTAGGGTGTAGATTGTATTAGAGGCCGAGAGCGGGCGGTGTGCCAGCTAAGATATTGGGCTTCCAAGGGGGTGGATTGTGAGATCCCACATCGGTTGAAAAGGAGAACAAAACATTCCTTATAAGGGTGTGAATTGTATTAGAGCCAGACATTGGGCGGTGTGCCAGTGAGAACGCAGGGCCTCCAAGTGGGGTGGCTTGTGAGATCCTACATCGGTTGAAGAGGAGAACGAAACATTTCTTATAAAGATGTGAATTGTATCAGAGCTAAACATTGAGTGGTGTGCGAGCGAGAATGTTGGGTCTCCAAGGGAGATGGATTGTGAGATCCCAATCGGTTGGAGAGCAAAACATTTCTTTTAAAGATGTGAAAACCTCTGTCTAGCAAAAGCCCAAAGAGAAAACGAGGACAATCTCTATTACACATGCATCATGTCCACCTAGCTAGACGAGGATAGAAAAAGGAAGTCTTTTCAATCTCTATTCTCAAAGTTAAATGAACCTCTCTAATCATGACCATCTTTCCATTTCTTTTTCAGGGATTTCCGATAGGTTCGCCTTTAGTACCGGATATCTCGAGAAAAATCTTGGAGGTGACGGAAGGCGAACGAATGAAAGAGATCGAAACCAAATGGTTCAAAAATGTGGAAGAATGTACAGCTTCAAAAGTGGCAGAATTATCTTCCACCCGCTTGAGCATCAACAGCTTCTGGGGACTTTTCCTCGTCACCGGCGTCGTTTCCCTCTCCTCCGTCGTTGCTTATATCGGCAAATTTCTCTACGACGAACAGCGCGTGTGGCAAAACAACGTCGAGCCTTCGATCTGGAGAGTATTCTGCGCGTTGACCCGCAAGTTCATGAAGAGAGATCCAACAGCTCACCCGCTAAGGCGAAGGGCATCCATGAATGATGTTCCTGTCTTAGCCAGAAGACGCAGTTTTTAGAGATTATCGTTGGTCTTTCATGTTATGGACATCATAGATATGTGTAGTTAATGATTCAAACATCAATAGAAGTTGAAATATTAAAAAAAAAAAAAAAAAAAAAGTTGAAACAAACATGTCTTGTCCTTCCAAAAAGTTTGGATCTTTGTTTTTTTTTTTTTGAAAAAATTAATAATGTGGGCTGGTTCTATTTTCGACCATTGGTCTCGACACAGGTTAATATAGAGGATACTTTCGTAATTTGGTGAATTGACCGAGCTCAAACGTGACTAAAATGTATTTTTAGTGTTGAAGTAATAAAAATGTGTTTAAAACTTACAGATTCGCAATCGATACTAGTTAATAAAAATGTACTCGACATATTTTATTGCGATGGTTGAGAGTCAGATAGTAGCTATAGAAGGTGATTGACGGAAGTAGACCATAGAGATTTTCTAGCCCCGCTTGATGATCGATGAATAGATGTGGACGATTGGTGATCTACGTGGAGCAATCGAAACAACATTAGATTGCCCCAACGATGAACGTGAACAAGGGATGACAATGGTCATAGTGATGGTAACTATAATTTTGGGTCAAGTGGGTTTGGTAATTATAATAGCCACTGCTATAAGATATTGTCTTCTTCGAGCTTTTCCTCAAAATTTTAAAACTCGTTTGCTATTATAAATAATGTTCCGTTTTCCTCCCCAATTGATATTGGATCTCACAATCTACCCGTTCAGAGCCCAACGTCCTCGATAGGACTCGTTTCCTTCTCTATCGATGTGGGACTCTCAATCCACTCCTTCAGTGCCCAGTCTCCTCGCTGACTCATCGCGCGATGTCTAGCTCTTTGATACCAATCTATCACGATTCAAGTTTCGAAACCTCGAAAATTGTGTCGTGAGTAACCCTTCCGAATCGTACTTATTCAGAATAAATGTTACATTAATAACGCAACACGTTTATATGATGATTATAAAAGTCCTAGCTAGGGTCGTAACTCCCTCCGCCTCCGAAATAATTGGCTTGACACCTTCGTTAACCGTAAAACCCGAGCTTTCATGACCTTTCGGCACCAATAAGCCATCAAACCGACGATGGAAGAAGCCGGCGCCAAACCTAGGAAGGGCGTCTCCTGCCTTTGCTGCATATGCGACAACAGGAAAGCTGCTCTCAAGAGGCCAAAAACCCTGCAACAGGTTTAATTTGCTTCCCGTCTTGTTTTTATTCTGATTTCTTCTTATTTGTTTCTCTGTTAGCTATCGTCATACTTGCGTTAATGATCATCGGAAACCATTGAAGAATCAGGAACCCTGGTTTCCATTCATTTAATTAATTATACAATGTGGTCTAAATGTTATTTTGGTCAGTTTGTTGTATTGTAATTCTAATAGAATGAACAGATTAACTATAGCGTTATGAAAAATCTTGCCATCAAACGAAGGATTTAAGCCGATGAATTTCATATATCAATACTTTTAACTCTCCGCTCATTTGTAGGCTTGAAAATCTGCACGAGGTCGAACTAGTGGTTATCTATATTAATTAGGGAGGAAATAACTCTACAGGGTTTCAAACACACGATCTTCTACTCGCATACCATGTTAAATCTTTATTGAACTGAAAAGCTTAAGTTGATGGGTGAGATTCCCCATCGGTTGGGGAGAAGAACAAACATTCTTCATAAGGGTGCAGAAACTTCTCCCAAGAAGACGCGTTTTAAAAACCTTGAGGGGAAGTTGGAAAGGGAAAGCCCAAAGAGGACAATATCTGCTAGCGGTGGGCTTGGGCTCTTATAATATCTTACATCACCATGTTTATTGCTTTTACAGATATGCAGAGAATGCTTCTATGAGGTCTTTGAAGAGGAGATCCATCAAGTTATTGTGAAGAATCACTTGTTCAGACCAGGGGAACGCATTGCTGTTGGTGCCTCTGGTGGAAAAGGTGGACACAAATTCTACTTAGTTCTAAATCATTCTAAATCTTCAAGATTATGTGAAAGGCCTTGTTCCTGTTATTTATTGTTGCTATGTGTGCTTGTGGGAGTCTCTTTCTTTTTTGATGTGCTGTCACGCTCCCTTCCCTTCTACGGACAAACGGGCGAGTCCTTGACTCTATTCCCGATCGGTTAGGCAAGCGGTTTGGCTTGATAACAAAGTCAACTCCAACAATTTTTTTTTTTTTATATTCTCTCATACAGGGAAGATAATTTTTGTAGATGTCTTTTGTACTATTTTTGGTTTAATAGTACACGTTCCTATTATCTTTACATTTACTATTGCCCATTTATGCAGATTCTACTGTTCTTGCATATGTGTTATCGGAATTGAATCGGCGGCACAATTATGGTTTAGACCTCTTTCTTTTATCAGTTGATGAGGGCATCACTGGATACAGAGATGACTCTCTTGAAACTGTGAAAAGAAATGAAATTCAGGTGAAAGGTCTTTCTTGTCTTGCTTTAGATATATTTTACTGTTTCCTTATTTCTTGATTTCTCTATGATTCTCTCTACGAGCTATAATATTATGACAGAAACAAATAATTTGTATGGGAATCGTCCATTCTCACTTTAATTATTCATTTTTCAGTATGGATTGCCACTACAAATTGTATCATACAAGGATTTATATGGATGGACAATGGATGAGATAGTGAAGATGATTGGCTTAAAGAATAATTGCACCTTTTGTGGAGTTTTCCGTCGGCAGGTGTGAAACAACTACTCCTGCTATGACTTCACAGTATATTTTCTGGCATTGTCTACATTGTGCATAGTTTCTTCCATGGGTATAGCAAATGTCATTTGAGGCTTACTTTTTATTCAACAAAATTACGGTATCCAAGTTAGGATATGATGTTGATACCGCCCCAGGAAAAGAAAATATAAACAAAATGGCCAGGCTATGGTGGTATTATAATTCTGAGCTGTGTGCCTCCTCATGGATCGAGTGCTTTTATAATTTGTGTTACGCTGTTAGTTAATTGCAGGCCACCCTGTCTTGACATAGGTTTTGTGTGTTTCCATTAAGGCTTATGGCCTCCTTTCTCATGTTTGATTTACTTGTGAACTATCACTAGGGGTTTAGGTGGCTTAGTTGTAAACAGAATTGATGGTTCGATTGAATTGTCAGTTTGGTTTAGCAGTTTGATGAGTCATTGTCGAGTCTTTGGGTTGGGTGGTGTAACAGCCCAAGGCCACCTCTAACAGATATTGATCGCTTTGGTCCCTTACGTATCGTCGTCCGCCTCACGGTTTTAAAACGTGTCTGTTAGGGAGAGGTTTCCACACCCTTATAAGGAATGCTTAGTTCCCCTCTCCAACTGATGTTGGATCTCACAAGTAGGGTTGAACCATGAAAATTTGGTAAGGGGACTCATGAAGGGCTCGGCTGCTAGGCTATTGATGTTTTATCATTCAATTGGTCAGTTGACCCTTAAATGAAACTAACCAATTTTCGTCTGCTTTTACAATGTTGTAAACCAAAAGTGACCAACATACACCAAACCAACCTAAGGTCAGCTTTATTGGTATCGTTGTTTTAGTTTGCACCTTTAATTATCATGCAATCATATTCTCATTCTTTTGTGGCAAGCACGGGAAGATACATAGTAATACATAGTACTAAGATGTCGAGACGTAAAACCAGCCATAGAAAATCAATTAGATAGACGTTACTCCTTCGTGTCTGCTAATTTCATGTATAAATGTGATGGGTACTATGAATTAAGATGTGTATTCCGCATTATTTCATTGAAGTAATAGATCTTTTTCGCCTGAAGGCTCTTGATAGAGGTGCTGCACTGTTGAAAGTAGACAAGCTTGCCACCGGACACAATGCAGATGACATGGCTGAAACGGTTCTGTTGAATATATTACGAGGCGACATAGCAAGGTATTCTAATACTACGAGATCACTTTCAATCTCTTTCATTTTGAA